TGCTGACTGTATGTATGACTGGTTGGGCTGACTGGTCTGTGTTTTCCGCTTTCCTACGGCGTGCAGATGGAATTCCCAACGCACAATTTTCGCTTTTTCCCCCGCCTTGCTTTTGTTCTAACGCCCACGTTTGGCCATTCGAAATTGGTATTTGCAAACACGTTTTTGACTTGGGAAAATTAAATTTAAATGCCATCAAATGCGGCGAGCAGATTGAGTCGAGAAAGGTGGCCCTGGGCAACATTCGCCCAAGATAACCCCAACTCCCACCATGCACATGCAGATTAGAAAGTCGTGCTCCGAAATGCGGGTGCACCGTTTCCAAAAGGTGTTTACGAGCCAACGCCGCTGAACTTGAAAACCGCCAAAGAACTTGGTAACCCGAAACGACAGTTGGAAAAGGCTTTTAACGACGCCCTTCAACTGCGACCAAAGGCTATTAATCAAGGCAGCACGAATCGCATCCGTTGCACCACTGCGACACTATCGAACCACTCAAATTTACAGCCCACGGCGCTGCATATAAATACTGCTTAAGGTAAACAGACAAAGCCCAGACAGACACATTAAATTCAAGTCTTTTGCCCATTCTCCACGTTTGTTAAGAATCAAAAATTGAAAAGCGCTGTGCTTCAAATCCCAGGCTAGCGATCGCCTTCGTCTCCGAATCTTCCCATTTCGAACGTATCGATGGGTTTTGGGTTGGAGTTGGGGTTGGGGCTGCAGTTGTGGCTGGAGATGGGGAAGTGGGCCTGAAGTGGGGGCAATCAACAATGGAGAGTTGGGGCTCAGTCGTCGAACGAACGAAGGAACGAACGAACGCATAGCTTAAAGTTCAATGACTGAAAAGGTGCGTTGTTGTTCTTGGGGCTGTGGTTGTCGTTGATATTGCTGCTGCAGTTGCTCTTGGTGTTTCTGTTGCTGCGGTTGCATAGGAATCCATCAGCACAGGCAACTTTGACTCGGACCCCATTTATATTGGCCATTTGCTTTTGCCTGTGCTTTTGGTTCTGTTTGCGCCTCGCTAGGCGAACGTGCAAAAATGCAGCATAAGCGGCCTAAGCGATCGGCAATCAATCTGCAGATTCCAGACGCAACTGCAATCCGTTGCTCCCGCCAATATTGCTCTTGCCTCTCGAGGAGGCACGCAACAAGCAATTTCTTGCAAGAATCTTCTCTTGCCGTTGAACTTGTGGCCTTAAGTGGCTGCTACACTTGCGGCCAAGTTGGTTAAACAAGCTGGCCAAGAGTGTTAGCCAAGACCAAATAGCCACATATATTTGCAGCCGTAAGATGAGATTGAAATGGCCATGGGAAGGATTAGTAAGTAAACCGATTAAGGCGATACTCAAACGAATTCAGTCAGTTCTAAACATGGTTCGTTCTTTAGAAATTATTTATGTTTTAAGATGAGTCTTAGAAAAGCATATCGAACTTTAAAATTATAGTAAAGGCATCTCAAGTTCAGGGCCTGGCTAAAGACTGAAATCGGGACTCAAAGTGTTATCGGGCCTGGAACGGAGACTCCTTCTTTGCCGCCGCTGTTTACATGCTTATGATGACAGACGCGTCTATTTATCTGTATCTGGCTGGCTGGACTGGTTGTTTGGTTGGTTTACATTTCGGTTTTGCGCTTCAAGTGAGAGAAAAATGTTGGGAAAATAAACAAGAGGAGCCGCCGACTCAGAATTCCAGACGCAGCAAAAGCAAAAGCAACCGCAGTGAAGTGGATTGGATTGGCCCCAAAAAAAAAAAAAAAAAAAAAAAGGGGGAGCCCTGGGCAAACTTTGGATGCAACAATCAAATGCTCATCAGCGCACTTGAAAAATAATGCGTTTGCTGGTTAAGACAAAAAGAAGTACCCGCTCTCGCACAGACGCGAAGATATAGACACTGTATCTCTGGAGGCCACCAGTATGTATCTTTCTTCTTTTTTTTGGCTGTGTAGATGAGGCATTTTCATAGCTAGCTATATTTTTCGTTGCCTTGTTTGTTTAGTTTTTGAGGCACAGGCAGTGGCAGAGGCAGAGACACTCACACAGACACGCAATGCTGCAGGTGGGAACAGGTTTTTCGTTTTCGGTTTTTCGTGTATCTCTGGGATGCGGGCCGTATCTCTTGGCCTCGCGTTATTTATGCCCCACTGTGGCTGTAATTACAAATGCTCGTTTCCTGCTTAAAAATAAAGAAAATACAATCTGACCATGTGTGCCTGTGACTGGGCAGGCATCTATTTAGTATCTTAGTATCTCCGGGATGCCCACGCACATGTGTCCTCCGCCTGGGAGATCAAGTTCCCGGCGAATGGAGTGTCCAAAGTGGGCAAGTGCGTAAGTGGACAGCGGCATTTGTGGCTCTTCAAAGGGCCTTCTTTCGCGAAAAGCGCCTGCTGCGCCCAAACAGTTCGCCGGTTGTTCATGCCGCTCACGTACGAGTATGTACTCGCACATAGGCTGCCCCTGCAACATGTTAGCCCAACAATATGACCAATCGATTGGCAGATATAGTAGCTCATAGTTGGTAGTTTATCCATGGTAACCCGTAGGCCCGCAGCAGATCCACCGAATAGCAGTAACAGCCGGAGAACGAATGGGAATTACCCTCGACAACTGCTCCGCACGCTTGACTGCACTCGCCCAGAAAAGAGCCACTTTTCCGAGTGGTGGTTAGGCTAGCAGTTGCCACAAATGGCGCGATGTAATGGCATTTCTAATATGGGCACATTAATGGCCCTGGCACAAAGAAACAGGTGAGGGGCTGAAGGAGTCCCGAGGCAATTGCAAATTTCAAAATTAACAGCCCACAGCTGAGGTGAAAATAATATGTGTGCTAGGGGTTATTTTTGGCCATAAACAATGTCTACGTGTTAGGGTATTTTGGTATATGGTTCTCATGTGTAAATTCAAGGTTTCTTTTTAACAATCTAAAGGTTTTATTGCACTCTTACGAGCAGTTTGTCTGACATGGCATGACTGGCATAATTTTAGATAAATGTAATGCTATCGTTTAATTAAATAGGTTTGCTTTTATGTATTCTTGTGGCTTTGTAGGCTATCACCTGAGAATAATTTAAGGTTATAAAGCCTTTAAAAATGTAAGTGAAAGAATTTTTAGTTTTTAAACTGAAACTAAACCTTTAAATTACATTAATAGTTAAATGCATAAAAATTTTAAAGATTAATTTCAACAATATAGTCAATTGCTAAAGCTAAATAAAGTAAATCTAAAAATCCAATCTTGGGCATGTTATCAGTTGTATTATTTCTGTAAGTCTTTTCACAAAATATATCTTTGCAATTAGTTGCCAATTGATTGCTATTATTGTGTCCCCAGCTGTAGATATACGTATGGAAGCCTGAGTGTGGTGCTCTTGTTTTCCCTGGGCTTCATACCTGAACAATTAGTGCGACTTTTCGATTGCGCATGCAGTAGCCCAAAGAGCAGCAGCTGCTGCATACATGGCTGCTTTTCTGTTTTTGCTCTTGGGCAGCTGACAAGGAGCCAAGAGCCAGAGCCAAAAGGCGGGGACAGCGGGGCGTAAACAAAGTGAGCTCTTGCAAAATGACAGCTGACAATGGATCGCCACGTTTTCGCTCCTCATACAGAAAAGTCTGCCGCTAAGTGCACAATAATAATGGCAACAATATCAAAATGAAAAAGCTGCAGTCAGCGTCGCCAGTCTGCCGACGAGATTTCATAAAGTTATTGAACGTTTTCAGGCGAAAAACAAAATTCGTATTGCAAGCGAGCGGAAAAAAACGATAAAGTGCCAAGCAAAGCAAAGTGCAAAATGCGAAAAGCCGAGAAAATAAAATCGCTTTTGGCATATCAAGAAGTTTGACAGCCACTGGAGATAACCTGTTGCTGTTGCAACTTTGGCAACAACAACAGCAACAACTGCAGCACTTGCCACATAAATGGCCATTCGTGTTGGCCGGTATTTAACACAAGGTCGCGAAAACAATGAGCAAAAACGACTTTAGACCGCTTATCTAAATGCTCATAGCTCTTTAGTAATTGTAGAAGCCTCCGCTGGACGCGACCAAGAAGCTAATTGTGTGAACAGGCCACCCAGCCCCACCCACGCTCCCACCTAGTCATAATGGTGTAATGACAGGAAGATCGGAGGGTGGAACAAAACGGCAGAGGCGACAAAGTAAACAAGGTGTTAATTTCCATTGCCTCGGTATTCTCTCGTTTTCTTTTCGCCGAGATGCTCTAGAAAAGGGTATACCAAATGCTAGCTAAGCTGAGTTTGGCATAACGAAAATACGAAAATTGTAATACAATTTTTACAAGTCAAGATCAAGAGTAAGCGTACAATTACACAAATATAAGCTATCGAAAATGCCAAACTGAGAGTAATTCAATTATTTCAAGCACAATATGGCCTTGAAAATTTTGTTTAAAAGTTTTCCATAAGCATGCTTTGATTTAGAATAATTTTAACATTGAAAATGTAATAAAATCAAAGAAATACAAACAAACAAGTCTATGACTCAATATGGCGATGCGAACAAAACAAATCGATTGCTCAAAATTTTGAAAATAACTTTGAAAATTCCTTTACTTTTGTTCCCGAAAATGTGCGATTCCGAATATACAAATATTAAATAATAAAATATTTAAATAAATTTCTAATTTAAAGGCAACCCAAAAATAAAAACTCTGTTAGGGTATAAAAATCCTAGCTATCACATCTCACACTTGATTATTTTTTTTTTCTTTTCCCTTTTGCGCCTTTGCAAATTGAATTCCCCTCGTGTTGCGAAAGCAGATAAGATTGGAGCACGTTCTCCGCCAAACAGCCACCCACACAGAAGCGGCTCCACGCATACAAAGCGACAGATGACGGACGATAAGCCGCCCCTGATAACGCACTTGACTTTGTGGAGAAATCGTGAGGGGAATGCACATAGTAGTGCTCCCACTTACTACTACTACTACTTATGATTATGATTATGATTGTAACCGGGAAGATGATGAATGGATCTACTTACGAACTGTGACCGTTTTCGGATCGTAGGCACAAACGCGTCGCTCCACGGCCGCAATCTTTCGCTGCACCCGACCTGCCCGCTCGCCCACCGCCTGCAGATCCCGCTGCAGGTCGTCGAAAATGTCGCTGGCTATTAGTACCAAACTGGCCAGCTGCCTCAAGGCATTGCTCAGCGTGATGTTGCTAATCGAATCGAACTCGTGGCCAGAAATGACCTTTGAGGAGCCGGCGGTGGGCGACTGTGGCGCACTGGCGATCCTTGCCAGCGTTGGTCTTTGCTGGCTGGGATGCCGGGAATTGGGCAGGGATTGCGATTGATGGCGAGTGGGCGATGTAAACAGGAACTCGACATGCTGCTTCAGTTTCTTCATGGGCGCCGAAGCGGGAGGCACAGGCTGCTCCTCAGCCGGTGTCGCTGCCTGGTGAACCAGCACCCTGGTGAGGGATGTGGGGGAACCGTGGCCATTCGTGACATCACCGTCCGGCGACTGCTTGTTAATGCAGTTGTTGTTCCGGCACTTTCCCGGCGAACAGTGGAAACGGCCGGAGGCGTGGCCCAAACTGGCCGCCGTGGCCTGGGCCACATTGACGGGCTGCACCACGCGCTGGACGAAGGGCATCTCTCTCGGTGTCTCTGGCGGCCACTAGCTGCTCCAACTCATTCGTTCCGTTTTGCAGGCACCGACTGCGATACCAAACACACAAAAAAAGGTATTCCGAATAATCCAAACACACACGCACACAGAGGCCCGAAAACTGGTCGGACAACTTCTGGAGTTGAATCCTCCGCAGTCGCAATCGCAGCCTCCTAGCTATTGTCTACTTTCGGCCAAATTCCTTGGCCTTTTTCACACGCACTCACAAACTAGTTTAACTTAACTGGTTTATTGGGCCCCTTTATTTTTTTCTTAATTTTTTGGCTAGTTCTCAGCCTTGCATAATTAGCACGTCGCACTCGAATTGCCCGTGATTATGGCGATTTTATGGCCCGGCCACCGTTACGCGTCGTTCGAAAGGTGTGTTTAGCCGGCAAAGTCTCAGTCCGCGACAGTCCGCGCTCACGTCTTCGTGTTTTGCCGGTTTCAAACTAACCGGTGCGACCAATGAGTAACCGGATTGAAAATGACACCTAGTGTGACCGCACTGGAAGATGACTAAAATATTTCACTAGCTAGAGATAGTTCGAAACTCTACTAAGACATAGCAAGAACATAGTTTCTTAACAGAACGTTAAGAAATGTTAAGAAACATTATTTTTCTAATACAACCAAATGTGCAGCCGAAACTGGTTCGGAACACCGGTAAATTACAGAAGGGCTTTAAATGTCTAGAAAGGTTCATTTTAGCATGCCCAGTGGGCAGAAAAGTTAATTTTACTTCGGATTAAAACCATGTTATGTTGTGTTCAGATATAAAAAATTTGTATAAAAAACCAGTAACTTTATCTAAATAACAAGTTTTATATATTAAACATAATTTGTTATAAGCCCACAATGCAAAGCTGAGCTCTACTTCAATAAATATCGATATGTACAGCGTTGCCAGAAATCAGGTTTTTCTCCTCACTAGTCAACCCTAGTCAGAAAGGGTCACATCGTCGTGGAAAAAATAAATAAAAAGTTATCAACAATTCCACGCCAAGATAAATTAAATAGTACAATGCCAAAGTACTATTGCGACTACTGTGACACTTACTTGACCCACGACTCGCCTTCGGTCCGGAAAACCCACTGCACCGGCCGCAAGCACCGGGACAATGTGAAGTTCTACTACCAAAAGTGGATGGAGGAGCAGGCTCAGCATTTGATTGACGCCACCACCGCCGCCTTTAAAGCGGGAAAGATCACGAACAATCCGTTTGCAGGCGGACCCGGAGGAGCTCCTCCGAAGCCGGCGGGCGTGTCTATTCCGCCGCCCAATATGGGTGCTCCTCCGCGTCCGGGAATGCCAGGAATGCCCTATATGCCTCCGTTAATGAATCCCATGATGGGCATGCGCCCGCCACCGATCATGAATCCTATGGCAATGATGGGACCCCCGCCACCACTGGGCACAATTCCCGGCGTTCGACCACCAATCATGAACGGCCCCAAGTGACCGCGGGCTGGAGCGGGATCTGGAAAAGAAGCACGGAGGGAACGCACCTCTTGAGGTGTCCTAATTAAGCTCTAGTATTTAAGTAAGCCCATAGCTAACCGAACTATGTAAATTTATATACAGAACATGTACTCAACAGTTGGTTGTTTTTGTGGGTGGAAAATAATATGTTTCCTGTGAAATCCAACGTTATCCACAATCGATGTGGTTGAAAAGGTAGACCGTAAGTCCAAAATCCCATCAAATAATGTATTTTTCCAGTCACTATTTTATTCATAGAATTTCTTATAAATATTCAATACATTTTGAAAGGTCTTGTGAACATGATACAAATCATTCTTTAATTTTCAGAAAGTTGAAAATTATGGTATTCTTAGATTAAAACCACTTTCATTGAAAAAAACCCTTTGTCATTTGAGAGATAGAGGCGTTAATTTCATATTCAATTCTTTGTCCAATACAGAATAAAAGGAAATGCTTATTTACTCAAATGCTTCTAGGAAACTGCCAGTAATTTTAGCAGACACTAACAAAATTAACATAAACACTGACATATTTTATTACAATTTTTTTTTAGCTTATGAACTAGTTTCAGTAAAGAGAATATAATGTGGATTATAATTGTTAAAGTTAATCTGGTTAGATTGTGTATCATATTCTTTGCATTGTCCTGCAGATCGGCTCGTCTGCTTTTCTTATATTAAATCAAAAGTCTATACTAGGACACAATAAGGTACTATATGGATTATCATTTCAAGGATAAAAGTTCTTACTTGTTATCTGGATACCCTCTGACGCTTGCTAGGCGACACCAGAACTGGAGAGGGTTGGTGATTACTCGAGATGGCGTCAAAGATACTGTTCTCCGAGCGTTGATACTCACTGCCTATATTTTCCAGATTCAAATCGGCATCAAGGACAAGGACCTGGAATCCGAACAGATTAAGTGGCTTGTAGAGATAGTAGTGTGGAATGTATATGTGTTTACCTTGCAAGACTGTGGGCGCCTGTGGTGGATCAGCCAGTCCTCGTGCAACTCGTGCAGCTCCTGAAGGTACTTAAGCGGTACACAGCTCTCCTCAGAACGTGCCCGCTGGCGGATGCGCTCATGTGCCACCTCTGGCGAGGTGCGTAAGTAGATGATGAGGTCCGCCTGGACATGAATTGACTCTTCGATAAATTTATACCACTCCTCCAGCGTATTGAACATGCCCTCCTCCAGGGAGCCGTTGCGGCGCATGTTCTCCACAAAGCAGTAGCTGAGAAGGAGTGGGTAACCATTAAAATTCTGGTTAAACCTGATATCGAGAGATAATGCACTCACCGTGCGCTAAAAATGGAGCGCTCCATTATTTTTAGCTTCTTGTCGGTAGGTGCGGTGTGCGCCTGCAACATGGTTAATGTGACATAACTCTGAAAGGGCATGGCCCATTTCTTGGGGTCCTTATACATGAGTTCCAACAGATTGACCCCGTTCACGTTGCGCCACTTCTCAACGGGTTCGGTCAGCAGGCAGATATCCTGCTTGTACTTCTCAAAATGATTCAGATAGGTAGTTTTCCCGCTGCCGATGTTGCCCTCGATGAGTACGGTGAAGGGCTGGGTGCCTTCGGCATATTTACGGCCCTGTCGGGCACTGGATGCTGCAGCCGCCATCAGTCCGGACAAGCTACGATCTGTACGTGAAAGCGAAAAAGTACGGAATTCACTACGTATTAGAAGTACAGTAAAGAGATTTTCCGGCTTCAATGGAGAACTGTACACGGCGGCGGGCAAATGGCTATTGAAGAGATCGTTTACCGCCGAAACCGAACTAAAAAGAGCGGGAACACCGCCATTTGTTTTTTTTTTTAATCGGGTTTTTCGATCGTCATGTTTGTTTTAAAGAAACGGCTGATCGCGTACTGTGTATGTGTGAGCATTTCATTGCCGGTCGAAAAATTTTAAATAAATCTACTTAAAGTACCTATGAATGTTATGATGTCCCTTCTCCACATAATAGCTCCACCAGGAATGGTTGTCATACACCGTTGTTATATTATAAATACCACAGTTGGCAGTTTTATTATTTATTGCCAGTAAAATAATATTGCTTCTTATTTTATTACTCAAAAATCATGAAATACAATCGCGTTGTTTTGGGCTGACAATCAGCTGTTGTCGATAACGACGACAGTCAGCTGTTTTGGTTAGCAGAGCTATCGGTGTTTTTGACATCACTAAAAAGACGCACTTTTATCAATATTATTGTAAATTTTATAAAAACCTGTATTATAACTTTTCTTGGGAAGCCTTTTGAGCTAGGCACTTCATAAACCATGTCCATAGAAATCGAATCAGCCGAGTAAGTATTGGAAATCAACAAGTAAATGGATGTTTTTGTTAATTCCGATTGCCCTTTCACAAACCAAGTGTGATTCGGCTTATCCAGCAATATCTGAAGGAGTCCAACCTTATGAAAACCCTGCAGACATTACAGGTTAGTACATATACTCTCCCAAGTCAATGTTTTTCTATGTGGTTATGTTTCCAGGAAGAAACTGGCGTGTCTTTGAACACAGTGGACAGTGTAGACGGCTTTGTTCAGGACATCTCCAATGGCCACTGGGACACCGTGTTGAAAGTCACGCAATCTCTAAAGCTACCCGACAAGAAGCTACTCAATCTTTACGAACAGATAGTACTAGAGTTGATTGAGTTGAGGGAATTGGGCGCAGCCAGATCTTTGCTTCGGCAAACGGATCCCATGAGCATGTTAAAGCAGCAGGAACCAGAACGATACATTCATTTGGGTAATGTAATAAACCAATTATAAGCCCAAGCCACTTTTATATAGAAACGGTTGTTCTTTACTTTATTATCCTTAGAAAACATGCTGCAACGTGCCTATTTTGACCCCAGAGAAGCCTATGCCGAGGGCAGCAGTAAAGAAAAGCGGCGCACGGCCATCTCCCAGGAGTTGAGTGGCGAGGTTCATGTAGTGCCATCCTCCAGGCTCTTGGCGCTTTTGGGACAGGCTTTAAAATGGCAACAGCATCAGGGACTTTTACCTCCAGGAACCACCATCGATTTGTTCCGCGGCAAAGCGGCTATGAAGGATCAAGAAGAGGAAATGTATCCCACACAGCTCTTCCGACAAATCAAATTCGGCCAAAAGTCCCATGTGGAATGTGCGCAGTTTTCCCCTGATGGTCAGTACCTCATCACGGGTAGTGTCGACGGTTTTCTTGAGGTATGGAATTTTACTACTGGCAAAGTAAGAAAGGATCTGAAATACCAGGCGCAAGACCAGTTCATGATGATGGAGCAAGCAGTGCTGGCGTTAAATTTCTCTCGTGACTCTGAAATGGTTGCCTCCGGTGCACAAGATGGCCAGATTAAGGTGTGGCGTATAATCACTGGTCAGTGCTTGAGAAAGTTTGAGAAGGCTCACACGAAGGGAATAACCTGCTTGCAGTTTTCGCGAGATAACAGCCAGGTTCTCAGTGCGTCCTTCGACTATACGGTGCGACTTCACGGCCTGAAATCGGGAAAAATGCTGAAGGAGTTTAAGGGTCACTCGTCCTTTGTGAACGAAGCAACATTCACGCCAGATGGCCACAGCGTGCTCAGCGCCTCTTCCGACGGTACAGTGAAAGTGTGGTCCCTTAAAACTACGGAGTGCGTGGCCACCTACAAGCCCCTCGGCAATGAGTTGGCTGTCAACACCGTCCTTATCCTGCCCAAAAATCCCGAGCATTTTATCGTTTGTAACCGGTCAAATACAGTGGTTATTATGAACATGCAGGGACAGATTGTGCGATCGTTCTCGTCGGGTAAGCGCGAGGGTGGAGCCTTTATCGCAGCTACTCTATCACCGCGAGGCGAGTTCATTTATTGCGCTGGCGAGGATCAAGTGCTGTACTGTTTCTCCGTCTCCTCCGGTAAACTGGAACGTACTTTGAATGTAAGTTGGTCCCTAAAAACGATTTCTAAAGTGACTTTTAACTTTAAATGCTCTCCTTAGGTTCATGAAAAAGACGTTATTGGCCTGACCCATCATCCGCATCAGAATCTGCTGGCCAGCTTTAGTGAGGACGGCCTGCTAAAGCTTTGGAAACCCTAGATCGTATAAGCAATTGACTTTCACACCTAGTTTTAGTTGGTTGTCTTATTTGAGCTACCGAAATATACCTACTGACCCCAAAGCACTTGCAGTTTTTCTCATGCCCCCACTCGTTGCTACACATCAATATCTTCAATCATGTCTATATGAAACAAATTGACTTTAATTAAGCATTATGCAAAGCGTCAGTCTCTCAGAGCGCTAATCCCCAGAGTTCGCCTCAATTGCTGGTACAGCGCCTAAATTAGTCGAGCAGCGACACTCAGCCGGTTCACTTGCAACATGAAGAGCGACGAGATCATCGAAAAGATACGCAGCAAGCTAAAGGAGTCAGATCCTGCCCGGCGCACCGTTGTCAATACATTTCAATTCAATTTCACCGATGCGGATGGTAATCTCATCAAGAGCATGGGTGAGTGGGATCTAGGCCTTATTTTGGGTCAAGCCACCGTTGACCGTCTCATCGTAGTATTTGATTTCAAAGCGTTGGATATCTACGAGGGGAATGCTTCTGGTGCTGATGCACAAGTCACCATTTCGGATGAGGATTTCTATTTGGTGGGCACTAAGCAGAAAACTTTTCAGGAGGTTTTGGAGCAGGAGAAGGCTCAGATTGATGGCGATGAGGAAGCTATTAATAAAATGCTGGAGAAGTTTCGCATAAATTCTAAAAACTAATTGAGTGATGTGAATTATTATGCATGCATTTTATTTTGTTTACTATATATTTATGTAACGTGGATTATTTGCTTAATTTCCCTCCCTATAATGACTGCAATCAGCATAAATAAATACTTTTTTTATAAAGGTATAAAAAATTAATTTCTAAACTAAAAATAAATATTTTTAATGGGCAGTAATAAAATCAAGACAAAAAAACAGACAAACAGCTCCAAAACAAATTGAAATTAAAAACTAACTAATTAATTTTGTTTTAGTATTCATTTATTTAATTACCTTTATTTATATTTAATGTTAACATGGAATTGTTTTTGTAGGTGTTTCCTTTTAATTTGAAATTTGTTGTTCTGCATTTTATTATTCAACTATTTTGTTATTTTGGATTCTCTTTATCTCACTGTGGCAAACGGCGCCATGTTGTGTGCCAATAGTGCGCCCGAGATTCGGTTTTTCTGACTTCTGTTTCTGGATTTTGAAATTTGAAAAACGTATCTCAATTCAAATGTGTTTGACGCTTTCCGTTGAGTGGCTTATTTATAGGTTTAATTGTAATTTTAACATTTGCTCTTTTTGGGGTGTTTTAATTTAACTTTGTGTTACTTTAGTAAACTCTTTTAGTTTAGAATATTTTTTTTGGTTTTGGGATAGGTTTCTGTTTTTGGGGACTTTCTTTCTCGAACATTTTTTATTAGCATTATGTTTTAGTACTATTTTTTTTAAATTTATGTTTAATTTTTATTGCTAGAACACAAATTTAGAGTTTTTATTAACTAATTGAATTCTTTAATTCTGGGTTTTCATTTCGGTTTTAATGTAATACAACAACAAAATTTGTACACTTAAACTAAAGTTTATTTTATGAATTAATTCCTAGGAGTTACTTGATCTTTATGCTTTTTTATGCAACAATTTAACAACGTTTTACTTCATCAATGTAATTGTATTTATTTTTCCTTTGTTTATCGTTTTTTTTTATTTAATTAATGTAGCATTTTTGTAACACCTACATACGTTTATTATAAATGGTTTTTACGTTAAACGGGTTTAAGTTTCCATCGCTGATTTAAGCCATATTCATTAAATTTCTCAATTTTGCTCTTTTGCAAAACGTACGTGCGCTATGAAACCAATAATTATTATTTATTTTTATGAAATTTTAGGGAATTTATCATTTATCTCCAAAACGGAGGAAACTGATATGAACTTAAATCATCTTAAAACTCGCAATAGGTTTGCATATGTATAAAGTTTTTAAAAATATCATAAAATTATATTTTCACACAAGAGATTGCCAAATGCAATTTGACACAACAAAAAATGAACTTAATTTTGGGTTTCTTTGTGTTTAGATTGTTGTTTTTAGCTTCTTGTATAATTTACTTTATTATTATCGTTCCCTTTAGCGTATACATTTTTATAAATATTTTTGTTCGCCTTAAATGTTTATAAAAATGTGCTTAAATAGACAAAAATCTTTGAATTTATTTCCATTCCATTTCCCGCTTTTCATTCTCCATCTGTGGGGCCGCTAATTTATTAAATTTTCTCATTTATTTTCTCATATAAACTTTTCGATTTAGCGTCATTTAACTCTTTGCTTTTATTCTTTGCTGGAAGATACGGTTTTGATAGTCACTAATTCTTTTATTTATGCATTATTACTTCGTCTCCTTTTTGTTGTTGTATGTTTGATTTGTGTAGCCTCAAGGGTCGAAGATTTTTTGTACAAAATGTGTAAATAAAAAGTCATGCGCGTATGTAAAGGTAGTTAATTATTATTGTTTTATGCCCTTTAGTATGTTTCTGCCGTTATTCATTATCGGTTTATCTATCGGTTTTTGCGAATTGTGTGTATTTTGTTTTATTAACGTTTACGTTCTTCTTTCTTCTGTTGTATAATTAATTCAATTTATACTTCACCTAAATATTACTCGTATCAAATATAAAAATCAACAACTTTATTTTATTTTTCGTCTTGTCTGCGGTCTCTTGTGGCTATGAAAATGATTCGTACTTGCACTTCCGCCCTGCAATATAACTGGCTCGATTCCGTTTCCGCTGACCAACTTCTTCCTTTCTCCTTTTTACACATCCGTCTATCGCCCTGTGCTTTTTGTGCGTCCTTCACGATACCGCCGTACGTATTTCGCTATGTGTATAATATAGTTATTAAATGTAGCTATTATTTGTTTCTTATTCCTCCATCATCATCATCATCCCTTACTTATGTGAAACGCTTCTGGCTAATCGTGTTATCGCAACTACAATATGCTCGCCCTACTGTACTTATTTAGCTTAGCTTTCGCTTACGCTTTATCCATCATTATCATCTCTAATTCTCGTTATTAAATTTATGTCTTAATCAATTCGCATTTTTGCATAATTTCTTGTCTTTTAGGTATTGTTAACTTTTGAATTTCTGTTTCTGTTCTACTCCCGGTTTTACTGTATCTGTGTGAACCTGTGTCTGCGTGTCAGTATGCACTGTGGGGAGTGTGTGTAATCTACTGCTCTTGCTCTGCAAAGTTGCTTTGTTCGCCATTACCTAGTTAGCCTTATTCTAAATGCGTTTTAAAACCGAAACTGAAGTTTGCGATAAAAGTGCCTAAAACTGCGCCTAACCATCGTTAGACGTTCGCCATTTGGTTGACATGATCGATGTTATCCTCATCGAAGTGCACATCGTTGATGAAAATGTCCGCGTCCAGCTGGTCCTCATCAAGCTCCAGATCGTCGTCATCGTCCTCCCCATTTGACATTAGTCCATGTCCCATCCCCATTCCCATTCCCATGTCTACGCCGGCGATACATATATGTGGTGGCGGTGGCACACTGGTCGGCGGCAGTGGGGCAGGCGGTATCATCAAGTTGCCACTGTTGATTCCATGCAAACTGCCCGCGATGCTGGCACCACCACTCTGCAGATGCCTACGACTGGAGCTGAGGCCCGCTGCAGAATACAATTCAATTATTATTTTCTAGATCTCAAATACACTTTATTTATAATAAATAAAAACTTTAAAAGCTAATAAATTTACCTTGAAAAAAAGTATATAAAACCAAAATCAAAGAAAACCTAATGAAAATGTAATTGAAAGATATTGTAAATAAAATTGTGTCACAACAAGAAATCATATAAGTGGTGGACTTACCCGTCGCACTGGTCTGCGAGTCGTAATGTGCATTTCGATGTAGGCCCAATTGGCGGACATGGTTCCTACGGTTTCTTCTGGAGTGACAGAGTATGCATAGGAGACAGATTAGGGACGAGACGACGAGAAGCGTTATTATAATTAGGACGTCGTAGTCCTCCTCGGCCGCTTCCGTGGTACCTGTTCAGGTTCAATAAAGTGGTAGAGGAGAGCAAGAGCATAGGACATAAAATTAATTAAGGATAACAGATCTAGTGCAATAAGTTGATCAAGAAGATGGTTTATAGTTAGAAATGTGTGTGTGTTTGTGTGTGTGAATCTCTTTAGTTAGCTGAGATTTTCTAGTGTGTGTGTGTGTGTGTGTGTGTGTCATGTGGGTGAGTCTGAACTTGTTGTTCTTGTACTATGTGCTGTGGTTTCCATTTCTTTTCGGCATTTAAAGTGGGTTTCACGAGTTTAGCATATCAATAGATTTAGGGTTAGGCGGTTTAGAATATTCAGTTCAGTTTTAACAAAGGCACCAGGAAGATATATTTACTATATATACATCTGATAGATGCGGTGCACATGACAAGTGGGGAAAGGTGCGGAACATAAAGAAGCCAGAACCAAAAATTGGAGGCATGCTCATAAACTCAACTCTCAAAATGCGATCGAAGTGAACTTAAGGATGCAACAAAAGATTAACTTGGGATGGTCGTATTCTCATTGGGAACTGTGAACTGTGATCGATCTCCTTTAACTGTGACAATCTACGGGGTTTGGGGGTTATGGGGTTTAGATTCTAGAGTCTAGATCTGGGGTGACATGTATCTGGTTTGAACACTGTGCATGTCATGAGCGTGGAGTGTTGATCGTGGATTGTAGACAAGCTTATGCAGAACTCACGTGTTAATTGTGACCAAAGAGTTTCATTTACTTAAGTATTAGAGTTAATATATTTTTTGGTTTGGTTGCTTCGTTTCGCTTGCAATTGTTTTGTTGTTAGAAAAATGAGTACAAATTCTTGCTAGCAGAATAAATCCATTCATGTTAATTCGTTATCTTAGTTATGTTTCACGTTTTTGATTCTCGTGGCAATTCCAATTTCGTTTTAAAAATTTTGATTTTTCGAGTTTCGTTCTCTCAGGATTTTAGTTTGTTTAACTTTAGTTGTACGTATTTAATACTAATGCCGTAATTGCTAAAACAAATGTCTGTAGAAATGTGGGCAAATGCGTGGAGTTTGCGTCACCTGTGCCAAGGATAAAGGGTTTTTTTTTGTTTGATATTTTTTTTAGCGATTTCAGATTTGAGGAGGGGAGATTATATTGTATTACACAGTTTCACAGTCGTACAGTTTGTAGTTGGTAGTGGTTTTTCAGTTTTGTTAGTGGAGACAAAAGAAAGAACAGAGAGAAACAGAGGGAGAATTAGACAAGTAGAGAGAGAATAAGAGAAAGATGAGTTTAGTGTGAGCGTGGCTGTAGATATTCTCAAGACTGATAAAATATCTTGATATCTGGGTCTGTTGTTTTGTGTTCTGAATGCCATTCGAGGTGTACGAGTATGTAAAGATACTTAGAAATCGGGTGAAAATTTGAGAAATGCATTGGTGAAGCTTGGGTTCGGGGTAATCAAAGGATGAGGGGGGGCACCCTGGACTATCACGAAAGGTATGTACAAAAGTCTGGCCATCGAAAAGAATGAAACAAAACAGCTAGTAAAAAGGTTCAGGACAAAATACGAATTCTTAGGTGCAAAAAGACTTAGCGAGAGATATATATATATAAACAGGATAGAAAGTTTCTGGTGGGCCTCGAAATGGGCACTTTAGTTGGTATTTAAGTTAGTATATAGATTATTATAGTTTTTTTTAAATATATATTTAGTGGTTAACGGTTTGCAAGTGTTTCGTCGGGTTCAAGTTTTCTTCACGCATCAAATGAAAAGTGTAAGGAACGCAAGATCGCACATGAGGTACACATTGTAACCGTGGAAAAACCAAGGAAAATTAAAGTGGAAACTGAAACTGGCTTGGCCCACAGCGGACGCACTGGAAACACAAACACGAGACAAACTTAAGATACTCGTTACATAAACTTAGGCAAAAGAAGGCAAATAAAAATTGAACTGAACCGTTCGACTCACTCACGACTCACAGTGCAATTCGTCAGTATCGTCGCCGGGCCCGCAGTTCTTGACCCCATCGCATCTCAGTTTATCGGAGATACAGTATCCTGCTCCGCACTGGAAGTGGTATGTGGATTCGCAGTGCAGGCCCACGGACGGCGGACCCGGACCGGAGTCCTGTATTTCGGTCCACACAATGCGGAAGCCCTGTAAAATAAATTGGTAGAAGGTCAAAGTCGCTGTGAGTAACTTATCCCTAGTTTATAGCTTACCTGGGCACCCACTGTCTTGTCGCTGGTAGTGAAGCTGATGCGCGCCGTCTGACCGGTGGAGGTGTAGTGCCACTGCTCCACAGGCGGCTTCTCACCGCACAGCTCCATCGGCGGCTGGTCGGAGTCAACGTTCATCCACAACCGCAGCACAGCAGCGGGACAGCCACGATCTATGGGAAATAATTGGGTAATATGTTAGAGAAATCTTAAAGCATAAACTTCTGTTTTCACTATTTTTGCTTATGACAGACTTTATGACTTACTGGCAGGGTCTCCTTCCAGACCGAACTGCTCAAAGTGAATGGAGAGCTTGTAGCCGGGGCGGGCTTTCATCACCCAGTTGCAGGCATTGGAGGCCATGCCCCGGCCGGGTGCCTTGTAGCCCGCTGGCCAGTTGGGCGAGGTGATAAGACCGGAGTCCTGATTGCTGAAGTTGCCGCCGCAGTCGCCGGCATCCGACTTGGCCGACTCGAAGAAGTAGCGGGCCTTAAAGCCGCTGGCCACGCTCTCCTGGTCCGTGTGCAGGGTGATCCGCAGCCCCACCGCTCCCCGCGGGCTCTCGACGGGTCCGGGGGCTGTCTGTCCGCAGTAGCGGCCCAGCAAGCGGTCGTTGTTGTCCCGGTAGACGACGTACATCTCCAGCCAGTCCTCGAAGCAGGCTCCGGAACTGCACGGAAAATATAAAAAATTTACATAAAGAAATAAACAAGGTAATAGTAAATGGTTTTTCCGTCTCACCCATAAGCTCCCGCTGTGGCATTTGCATTGTTGTCCGCCTTGATCTTGAAGTGGTCAAATACAATGGTCACCTGCTCATCTGCCTCGGCCAAAAACAAGTACGAGCAGTTCGTGTCCGATGGATAGTTAGAGGGGTAGCGGGGGCTATTCAGTTCACCTCGTTTCTTAGAACTGCTCACATACGTAAAACTACATGTGCCATCCGGAGCAGCCGTGCCCGGAATCTTATACTCCGTTTCGAAGGTGTACTTGCCCTTGAAGCCACGCCCCTGCAGCTCACCCGAACTGAAGACCATGGCTAATCGCGGACCCTCGCTAATCACACGTTGCGTCTCATTGCCGCACAGCTCGTAGTCGAACTTGTCGTAGGCATCGGCCGTCTCCTGGCCCTTCAGATAGATCTTTAGATAGCCGTCCGTGCAGTTGGACCTTTATAACAAGTAATATTATATGATATAATAGATAGAAAATTATGTAAATAAGTTTAAAAATACAAGCTTATGCAATATTTGACTAGTATTAATATATTATTAGTCAGGCACTTTTTATACATCTGTAGGTATTGTAAATATTCTCAGACTAATTATGGTTTTAGGTAAGTGATTTACTTACTCGCTCTTGTCCTTGTGCTCCACCTTGGGTATATTGAAAGCGTTAAACTCGAGTCGTACACGCTCCAGATGCTGGGCATCCTGCATGCCATAGATGAAATATCTAAATAATAATTCATATGTTAAAATGCCACTTCATTTATTTAAAAATTCTCTATATAGTTCCACTTACCTACACACAGTTTTTGGTATATAGGGATAGGGATAGTTGGGTGACAGCACAAAGCCAGTGGATTCCTTCTTCGATAAAATCTTTTGATCACATTCTGAGCCACGTATGTGAATGCCATCATTTTCACCTGATGTACATATGTTCATTTCAATTTGTAGTTGTATATTTTTGTAGCGAATAAATAGTTGAAATTTCGATAGAGCAGTCAGATCAGATCAGGTCAGATGGGGTCGAATTGTAGAGTAGAGCGAAAATCACCAGATAGCGTAGAGATAGTTTTTTGATTTTCGTTGTCCAAAGTAGAGAGAAAGTGTTGATAGGTTAAAATTTGTAGTGTCAATAAGTGGAAACATTGAAATTTAAATAGCACACAAAACGAACAAAGCCAGTGAATAGTTTGGTACAAGCACATACAATTAGCTGATAAATGTTATTCGATATGGCAAACATTTTGCGGCGCCCTAATAAGTAGGCAACACTTTAAGTTAACCATTTGAGGGCACCGCAAAATGAGTGCATGTTTGGGGAAAAAGGCAAAAACTGAAACGACAAACAATTTGTGTATATTAAGGTTGTTCAACAATACTTACGTATAAAATCTAATTTAACAAAACTCTCGCTAAATTCATAAATTCCTTTAAAGCCACGATTTTGGGTATTTGCGGTGCGCGATAACGTATAAAAATGAACAAAAAGGCTCGACTCGCTCGAATACAAAACTAAGTTTCTTTGCTGCCCGCAATATGTACCGATTAATGCTGACGAATTATCTGGACCATCGTACACTTTCACATAGTCAAATGGGCAGCTGTTTATTGTTATTTTTTCAGTAGATGTAGGTGGTTGTTGAAATTTTGTTGTAGACAAATTGCAGATTGGGATAGCAGATTGGATAGAGAAGAGTTGTAGTATTTTTAGAAACATTCGAATGAGAGAAAATTTGGTTTAGATAGTCACAGATTAAGAGTGTGGGCTGCCAATCAGAGCAAGTTTCGTCGACAAACAAAACTTGCTTTGATCTTGACTTGTTACCAGTTGTGTTTTCATTGTGTGTTTATTTCTCTGTGTCTGTCTTATTGTTGTATTTAATTGTGCAGCATTAGAGGTACTCACTGTGGTCCACCAAAAAATAGATCAAAATCACGAAACTCTAATCTAACCCTCTGATTCGATTCACCAAGAAATTGATATGTGCATGACATATCCTTCGGATAGGCACCTGGATAGGTTGGCGATATGAGCGCACCAGTTTTGTTCACGCTCATGCTGGGCGTTATCGTGTAGGAACATGGCGACCCCGCAATTGGAATGCCAATTTCATATTCCGCTTTTCGAGTGGAAGCAAAAAAAAATATATGACAAGAGAGTCAGTCAGTAAATGTGTGAGGAGGATAAATTGGTAATGCCATTGCCGCCATTACTCACATGCATTTATAAACCTAAACGTGCCCTCGAACAGGTCCGTGGTCACGTTCTTGTTGCTAAAAAAAGAAATCGCAACTGCCCGGTACATGGAAATGCGACGACGCGGCGGAATGGTGCCACAGTAGCGGCCTCCGAATGGTGAATTGATCAGTTCCGCTGGCTCCGACGACTGCACCTCCGAGTAGATATCCATGTACTCATGAACACAACTGCAGGGTGAGAAGAACAAGGGGATAATTACTTGAATTTTATTGAATTTAAAGAAGTTTTACTATTAAACGTTTCCTAAAGATCAAGTACAAGACGAGTATGTAATGGTCTTTTTATCCTTTTATTTAATACTTAAAACATTTAAAAAATATAAATCAGAAACCTCGTCAACGTTTAAATTCCTTTAAAATAGTTGAATTTCCTTTTATATTTACCTTGGTAATTCACCGACGGCCGAACCGCTGCAAAAATAAAAGTGTGCACGGACAAAGCAATATTAGTTCCTTGCAAAATGGCAATAAATGTGCTCAGTAGTACTCACTCTGGTGGACTTCCTCTTAAATTAAACGATTTAAAAACTACTTCGACACGCTGACCAGGTCCTGCTAGGAAGGTGTAGAGGCATTGGCGCGAATGATTGCGATGGTTGTGCAGCAACGGGGCCGAGAAGCTGCCATTCTGGGGTCCACCGATCCGCGACACGAATGTCTGATCACACTCTGCGGTTAAAAAGGACGAAAAAGAATAAAGGAAGCAGCACAAACGGCAGGGTTTGCACATTGATAAGTTTAAAGGATTGATTTCAAGGATATTGGCTAGACATAGACACACACAGCAATACAGAACACATACACAGAACTTAGCATCGGAACAAGAGCTGTTAACAAGGCATCTCAATGTGTGGGTGTGTATGGCTTTGTGTCCACAGAGAAAAATATCAACGAAATTGGATTTTAAATATGGAATATCAAATTGGAATATATGTATATCCTAAGGCATAGTCAATAAACAAGTATTCGTCAATTATTTCTAGAATATTTTCTATAATGTCTATAATACTAACATAATATAGGATAAACTGGTTGATAATTAAATCAATATATCGTATGTTGCTTATTTTGGGGATTTTGCCAAACTACTTTCATATTGTTGTCATAACATTAACGTCAGTGATTACCCAAGATAAGATTGTTCATATGATTAGATTGCCTATTAATATTTAATATGCCTTTGGATCAACATGATATTCTGGTGGTCATAAATTTGGATATCTCATTGGCATTTATGATTTCTTCTCTGAGGGATGTTTAGTTTTCCATTGGATGTGTGTACAACTAGTAAGCGTTTTGAGTTGGTCAACTAGGGCAACTGGAACTACGGGTGGACACTAAAACGCAACGGTTAACTACGGGCGCGCATTACAGGCTCTCGTACACCAAAAAACAAACACACACACACGCGCGGCCCAAGGCGTACACACACATATCGAGAGGGGGTAATTGATTTAACAGTTTGTGTGTGTGTGTGTGTGTGTAGGTGGGTTGGGGTTTTAGTGAGAGAGAGAAAAAGGGAGAGACAAAGAGTGAGATGGCGCCACCTACTTGGCGATTTCGTGGGTCGCGACGACACCTCCAAATAGGCCACCACCGGCTGCATCCAAGGCTCTCCGGCGGCGCTGTTCGACTTTAAATGAGCACCGCCTGCACGGTGGGTGGTTGTGGGTGGTGTTAGTGGTGGGGTAGTGTTTCAGAAGGCAGGATTAGTGGATCGTAAAGGAGGTAGACAAATACACAGCGTTAATGATTTCGATTTGCTTGGGATGGATGGGGAAGACTGCTCTGATTTTGAGTCACAACTTGACACCCAACATGGAAATGCGCTTCTCGACTTTATGACAAGCTGTCCGTCCGTCTGTCCATTTGTTTGTTTGCTCACACGCTCCGCTATCTATCTATCAACTTGGCTTTCAGCTTTGAGTGTGGTTGTGTGGGCAACGCGATAAGAGAATCCGCTGATACTGCAGCTCCGAAAGGAAACTCATGTTGCCGTCGTGTGCTGGCAGCCATGGCATATACGCAACGTACAGTAAGAGTGCCTGTTCGTGGGCACCAAAGCCAGCGGAAATTATTAAGAGCTTTCTAAAACACAAACATGCATACACTCGGCTGCATTGTTCAAGGTGATTTGAGCAGCAGCCACTTCCATTAACTTTCAAAGCCCGGTAAGCCTTTTATTAGACCTTCTCTTCCTTACAACAGACTTTTCTGCTGCACTTTTAATTAACTTATTATTATTTAATTTGGGTTCTAGTACAAGAGTTTCTTGGCAGGTGTTGTTATTTAGTTTAATATATAAAATCAACCTTTGCCCTTATCTAGGCAAACTGAATTTTATCCTTAAATTCCATCGCCAATCAAAGGAGTAGTAACTTTTAAGACAACATTTTGCAACAATTTTTTCTAAACTTGAATGTAAGTCTTTTGAAACTTTAACACAAGTTTTGTTTTGTTAAAGGAAAGTACATGACCAGGCTTTTAAACGTTGCCTTTTTGTTACTATTGCATTTAAATTGAGTTTGCCTCTTTAACATAAACTAATATATTAGTTTTGCCAACCTTTTAGAACCAATTTAAGAAGCACCTTGGCAGAACTACCTCCGTATAAGACCAGAATATGATTGATCCTAGTTGCTCATAACTGACAGCTTTGAATTTCACATAAATGGCTGGAGCTACGGTTAAACATTAGCCGACGCCTTGCGGGCCCGGTTGTAATTAAATTCGCTTTGCAGCTTTCCAGCTCATAATAAATGAGTCGGCCGAGATGTGTTTGATGTTCAGGGAGAAGGTCGGTTTGGGCCATGCTTTGTGTTGGCTTTTGTGGGCTGCGCAGCTGCAGCTGCGGTCTACAGTTACCGAAACTACGTTCTGGGTTTTCTGGGTGGAAATCAAATTCGTAAAACTACTGGGATAAATGCCAGACAGCGGCGAATTTAACTGGTTAAACGGTTTGCCTATTGATTTTGTGATGTTAGCACCGAAAATTCCATGTCAACATTGTGTTGGCCAAAGCCCCAACTAAGCCGTTTACATAATTTCCACTTAATTATTCACGCAACCAAATAGAATCCCTTTAGGCAAGCGATCTGGGCGATTATCCCCCGCTTACCGCCTCTGTTTTCTGAGTACGGGATGGGTATTTAAAATTAATTTTCGAAAATCCCCACACACACACACACACAAATACGGGAGCGACATTTTATCTGAAATGCAGTTTACTAAACAGCAAATAAATGGCGCACGAGCAAAAAGTTTGCTCATTAAAATGAGAGCGGATTTGTGTGGCACACAAAACGCCCAACTCACGCCCTCGCACACAAGCACACGTTGCGTGCATCGACGCAAGGCTGTCTACGTGCTTTAAAAATATATATAAAGGAATCCTGAAGAGCAGTTCCTGTACAATGAGATACCCTTTTCAGATTTATTGCATACCTTCAGGCGTTGGAACTGTTTTTTGAATACACATTGCTATGCTATGATGGTCTTGTATGATTTGGCAATTTTGACCACTTTTAAAAATGAAATAAGTTTAAGGAAAATTTATATGTTAAGAGACAGTATCCGGCACTAGTTTTTAGTGACGCATTTTTTACCGTTTAAATAAGTATCTTATTTCCTAATTAATTTTGACTCATAAAGCCTTTGAAGTTTAAAGCGTGCGTTTATAGATGCCTTCGTCTACCCTTCTCTCGAATACAATATAATATATACACCCTTGTAATCCCCAGCTTGTTGGGTATAAAAACTAGAGACGTGGCCGTGACGGTGGGCGTAGCAATGTCAACCGCAGTACAAAACGCTGCCAAACGGATGAGTCTCCTTCCCCACAACATTTCCCACCCTCTCGTCTGCACCTGCACAACACCACCACGCCCCACCCAATAGAATTTCCCACCGCCCACTTTTCGCACCGCAATGACAATGCGCAGTAAAGTGTCAATAAATTTTATGCAGACGCCATTTGCATTGCCATAAATATTTTTGTTGTGTTCGGCAATGCTTTTGCACTTCTGCTCTGGCATTTGTTTTCTTGCCATCAAGAGCGCCCCGCCCCCCGTTGGCGTCTACCTCCTCCCGCTGCCCCTGTCATTATGTTAATTTACACCTTTTGTTGGCTGCGCCTCAGTTTCAATGCCATCACATAACGAACAAAGCCTGCACAATGCTGCAGCTTTTAATTGCGTGCGCCGTAAAAACTAACTGAAGCAATGAAAAGCTGCTAAATGGCAGCAATTCCATTGGGCAAACAAGTTGTCTGCTAAATATATTTACCGTTTTGCAAACAGGTGTAATTGAAGGTGGGAAGGAGATCTTACTGCCAGCTAAACCTCAACCTTGCGGTCTGGCGCAAATGGTGCCCCAAGGATGCGTGTCACTAAATGCTCCCGGACCAAAACTGAAACCGAGACGTATAATGATGCCGATGACGAAAACGTTTCCCAGGAGGCACGTAATACCACTAATAACCCGGCCGGCACTCACTCAGTCACACATACAAATGCGTATTCAGCCAGGCGACAATTGAGATGGAGAGAATTTTCTTTGCATCCTGGAGAATTTAATAATCCAGAACGAAATGATCGCTCCACTGAACTATTTTCACACTGAGGGAAATTTTTCATCAAATACACAACAGAGTGGAAAATCTATTACATTTTTAATGTTTGATAAGCACATTAAATAGGAAAGATTTAATCTTTTTTAAAAACCCTGACTTTCTTCAGACAACCTTTGTTTATCTTTTGTTCGTTGCACATTTTCACTTACTCATCAACTTTTTCTAAGTAAAACATAAGCTCCCATAGATTAACTTTCTCGAGTGCGTTTTGTGAAACTTTACAAACTTTCATTCAGTTATGGGGAAAACTACTAACTTGACTCATGCAGCCAAGTTGCTTTTGAAATCGAGTCTATCGTTATTGGGTAATTCCATTGCGACATTTTTGTCGCCCTTCAGAACATATAATCTTTAGTGGCTCTGTCTGTCTACTGGGTCGAACCCCCGACACCTGATCCTACCTCCTGCTGCTGTCTGCCTGGGTTTCCTGCTCGAGTACACACTTCTTGAAAATTTAATGGCTGGCACTGCTGTTGGCACTTACACCGCCGCCCGCTGTGTCCCCAGCCACTCCTTCCCGCACACCTTGTCTTGCCCTCAAACCAGTCGACCACAGACCCATCCTCCATTTTAATTCCCACTCCTCGCCGCAATCCCCGTCGCCACCTTCGTGGTGGAGCTCATGTTACAGACAATTTGCGTTAAATTTACAAGTAACACCGTTCGCCAAATACCAGGCCCAAAACCAGAGACGGCATTGCGCCTTATGTTGTTTTATTGGTGCCTGGCATGCCGTTCGGATACGGCAGCCACCGCCACGGATTCGTGCCGTTGGGCTCACTGAGAGAAAATACTGCCGAAAGCAAAGCACGTGACAGATGAAGAACTTAATGTTTTATTAGGTTTCTCTGATTTGACAGTTTATATTTCTGACAAGGTTATTTCCTTTTTCATTGTCATGCTAACATTTTTGTATTGTTACTTGTCAAAACATATTGTGATAAGTAGCTTTTTCGAAAGATATAGTTGTCTCCCACTTGGTATTACATTTAAAAAGTTTTTTAAATGGCATAGCTTGATGTATTGTGTAAGCAAACTCATTCTCAAAATATGTCTAAGGATATCTCTTTTATTCGGGAAAATTGGAGACAAAAATATGCTCATATCTTTAATTTAGAATTTTCTCAGTGGATTATATCTGGCTGTTTTGCTGCCATAATAACCGCAGCTCCAGATGGGGAAATAGCTACAACGCTGGCAACAACACCGACAACAGTAACAGCAATTAAAGTGGATTTTCATGAAAATGAGTTTTCCTAATAGTTTATTCGAGGCCGAAAAATAAAATCATGGCGATAAAACGCGTTGATTAAGACGATGGCAGGTGAGAGGCGATGAGCCAGGATGACGATGATGAGTTTCTATGGCTATGGATAAGGATCTCAGAAGCAGCTGCCGTTCTGGTGCTGGATTTTGGTTTTTGGCTCTGGTTTTGGGCCTGGTTAGTTTGGATGGGTGGCTGGCTGGCTGGCATAATTATGCATATTATGTTGCAGGGTCTTAAGTGCATATTTGTGTTAGCTATTAGGTAAATTGAGTCTAATTTATTGCCAATTAGTTGGGTGATTAAATTCAAGTGATTATCTTAGAGCTCATTAATGGCTGGTGAGTGGGTTAAATTCATAATTAATATCACGCATACGCCCCGAGGTGAGCTCACACAAAAACCATAGTCACTCGTGGCCAAAGTTATTCGCCAACTTTTGGTCAACTTTATAGTGGATTTGAAATCTCTTTTTGGCCAGCACTCAAGCTTTGGCCTAAACTCTTTTGCATTTATTTATGCACTTGGCCGAGACCCCCGAACTCGATAACTGCAATTGAGGCTCGCTTCAACTTTGAACTTTTGACTACGTCGAACCAAGAACTTTTATATCGATAAGTGGCAAATAATAAAATTGCCAGTGGCAGCTACTCACGCTTTTGATTGACTCTTGCGAACGTACCTGCAACGAGAAAGAGAATAAAGAGTCAATATGAATTAAGTGATTTTTTAAGTCAAAATGAGCTGCAGAGGAAAAAAGAGGTAAAATATTATTTTAAATTATGAAAATATTACTTGAGATACTCAAAACAAATTGTATCATTATTTTGTAGTATTTAACGAATGTAACCATCGACTTTTCAAACAATTAAATCATATTGTCTGTAGAAGTATTCTTGTAAGAAATATCTTTGTTTTCTTTAGTGTAAAGGTGCAGGATGAATCTTACATTTTTCAGGGGTTAATAAGGGGTGGCAATTAAATGACCCGAGAAGAAGGAGAAAATTGACATAATGGAAATGCAGGCGGCAGTCAAAGAGATTGAGCAGGCGGATAAGAACACCGACAGTCACTCGAGCATCCTTGAGTGTCCTGCCTGCAGAGGCGATTCCAAAGATACAATGCAATATCATCAGCAGCCAGTCCTGTGGCCATGGCATGGAAAAGAAGGGTACGAGAGGAAAACAGAAAGCGGGTGATGGGAATGTGCAGCCAAAGGACTCAATTCAATAAGCGCCATATTATGCTGTCTAGTCGGGTTTCAGCTGAAGCACCTCGTGTTGCATGCCGCTAATCAATCATGGCGTGGCATCGGTTGGAGCAGCCAACCAACTAGTCTTCTTCCACCAGCTGCCTTCAATGGGCAATTATTGATTGATGCCAAGTGCACATCGCTGGCGGGGCTTTTGGGTATAGCTTTGGATGGGTTGTACTATGGGGATGCTGCTGCTTCTGCTTCTGCTGCTGCCACTGAAGTGGCCTGCACTGTGCTGTAACCCTGATCTAGTGCCCCTTTTCTGCAGCATCTGCTGTCAATGTTAAGATTTTAGACATTGAAATTATTCTTTTGCGGCGCCTCGAAGCTTAAAGTTTTAATTTGTAGTTTTCCTTTGGTGTCGTCTCTCTCTCTCTCTGTGTATGTGTTTGTGTGTGGCAAGTTTCGTTTCGTTTGCCATTCCAAATGCAGCACTTCATTGGCTTCTCTTTTCCTGTGTGGTCTTGATGTTTTTGCGGCTCTGGAACTTATTATTTTTCGGCAAAGTTTTCCTAGGTCTTCTGGTGACAGGGGGTTTTACTTTTTACTTAAAAGAAATAAATACATTTTATAGTATTTTCCATAATTGCAAGTCAATGTTGCTGCTGGCCGCCACCACACACCAAAAAAATATGCTAAAGAAAATTATTTCTGAGAGATTTTTGGGCCAAAACGTGTTCTGCATACTTAAGGCCACAGAAACCAAACAAATTTATTTAAATGAGTCAGGAAAATTAAGTGGAAATGTGTGTGTCAGAGGAAGAACGCCACCTCCTGTGTGTTGGGGAAATGAACAAAATACGCGAGATGTAGATAAGTCGAAAGCGGGGCAAATTTTAATGCCGCTCCAGCAAACCTTAGACAAATAAAACTATAAATATAAACGTTGTCGGGGTATCGGAGGGGACTGTATTTAAATAAGTGCCCTGTGACTGGCGCACGTGTTTGATATTTCCTTTAGTTTTATGTCAGACAATGTCAAGCCCACCCACACATCCGACCGTTGATAATTCAATAAACTAAACAAGATTCTGTGGGAGATTTATGGGTATACTGAACCCGACTTTCGGGAGTTGAAACTGCTCGGGGTGGTTTATAAATCTTCATTTCAGCAAAGACACACACACACACACCATACATACAGAAGCTCTGCCTTCTTAGTCGCTTATTAAAATGCCATTTTAGAGTGGGGGAAACTGGGCGCGGCTGGTTCATAAATTGCCAACACTTATGCTCAATAAATGGCCATAAATCTGGACTCGACTCGCTGGCGGCATTAAAATGCGTAGCGACACAGACCAAAATGGAAATAACAAAAACATCAAGAACAGGAGCTACACAAAATGTAGCTACAGATGGAATATGCCACAGATGAAAAATATATTCCCATTCTATGAGTGTGTGTGCTGGTGGTGGTGAGCCAAAATCTCTGTTTGTTGTCGAATCATTTTCCACGGTTGTAATTTGGTTTTAAAAACGCTAACATTTGTTACATCCTAGCAACGCGTTGTATGTGTTCTTAACGTGCTCACATTAAGTTGATGGCCTAGCCAGCTTGAGGGCTGGCTAAAATTGATTAATTGACAGTTGACTCAGCGCCATTTTCAGCTCACTTTTGGCCATGACTTGTGCGTAGATCCATTCACCCAAAAACGAACCAGCCAATCGTTTTGCTACATTTCACAAAACTGCATTAAATTTCGAGTCATTAGGCAGCAGTTTATTTCCCTCTCTCAATTGTGTCCTTGGTCCTCCCTTCCGCCTTCTCAAATATTGCCAACATTAGCTGGACATCTTCTATCTGCGCTTTACACATCGCTGACTGCAATTCTTGGAGCTATCTGGATGGCATTGTGAGGCGTTCATCATGCAAATGTAAGCGAAAATAATAAGATAGTTCTAGTTATGGGCAATCGTCGAAGGAAACTGAGTTTTTCATGGGAAAAGAACAGAAATGTTGTATTTTAAAAGAAAATTTTACGAAAATGATTTAGTTTGTTGATTAAATAAATTGAATATTCAAAACGTATATTTAATTAAGCTGAATATTGGCATATAATAATATGATTATGAATTAAAAATATCGAAACATGGGAAAGTTCTTGAAGCTATTTCACAGTTTTCCTACTTAAATATGTTTTCTAACAGCCTGGTTTTCCTCTGTTTTACCAGTTTTTGTGTGTTTTAGTTTGGCTTTCGATTTCGACTTTCTAATTGAGCAATTTCCTTCGGATAATTGCTTTTGCGCACTGTCGCATTTGGACTTGGATTCACATTCAGATTCAGATACAGATGCCGATTGCGATTCACAGCCGCGCCCACTGAATCTCCTGCCCACTAATGTCTGCAATCTGGAATTGGACAATTAATTTGTGTTAGCAGGCATCCCAGCAATTCATAAACAAACAAATTGAAATTGGAAGGAGCGGGCCATTTGCATAATGCTGACTAAGTGAGAAACCAGATGGGCACGGGCACTGGCACTCGAGCATTTCGAGTGTTTCCAAGAGCGGATGCAGCTTCAAATCTAAATCCCCTCCACACACACCTCAAATACTAACATACTCGTACACACACGCTGAAACTGTTGATATGCAAACGCAGTCATAAAACGTGACATTTGCCGTCAGCTTCAATTTGGCCAAGGCATTGAATGGCCATAAAGTGAGCGAGTCTGTATGTGAGCTGAGCTGACGTTGCCTGGTCTGGAAAAAGGTAGCAGAAATTCAAAATGAAACGTAATTTGCATATGGAAGAGCAGGAGGCGAAGGCGAACAGGAGGGCGTGTTCAAGCTGCTCGAGGGCGGCTTTTTATGCACACCCAGACACACACACACACACAGCAGAGAATCAAGTGGGTGAAGTCGGTGAAGCCAAAAGGTAAAGGTGGAACTTGCCCTAATCTGCATAATAATAAACCAACCACACAAACGCAAAACATGAAAAAACACACACATAAATTGCCACCCCCAAACTTGCCCCATTTTTGCCATATTTAATGCTGTGTAAATTGAATTTCCATCACTTTATGATTACTTGATGCGGACTGAGGTGGAAATATTCATCAAGTTGACTTTTTGTTTGGAGTCCCGGAGTTTCCTCTCTGATTTATTTGCCCAAGCCCGTGGGAAACGGTGCGCCATCTAACGTCAAGCCGAACTATTGAGGACTTCCGAGTCCGGGAATCTTGGACTGCAGTTACCCAAGTAACTGGGCATATCAATTTTAATCAAATTGACAGGCTCCCCAGCACCAATGAAACTTTATTGCCCACTTTCGCAGGCACATGGAAGTGTGTCTAGGTGTCCTTAAACCTCAAGTGGTCCTTGGGGTATTCAAATAAAATGTATTGGCAACTCTTTGGTGAAAGGAAATTCCCATGAAAACTCATTCAAGAATGTATATTTATATGTTTATGCTTTAGCTTACCTTTATCTTTTTTCCCTGACATTGGCCATTGTTGTTGATGTTTATATTTAATTAATATATTAATTTATGCGCCGCGCGTTGATCATTTGTTGCATATTGTGTTTGCTGAGTGTGGCATTTGCATTGATTAAAATTGAATTGAGTGGAAGATTCCCTTCTTTTATTATCCATTACAGCGCACGTACGTTTTGCGTTGAATTGATTTAATTGGAGTAGTTTTTGTTGGGTTTTGGTTTTGTATTAAATTACAGTTTATTGGGTTTTAAAGTTCCATAATTCATTTGACTTTGAAGTGAGTAAGTTTCATAGTTTATAACACCTTAATTTGTATACACGAGATTTAGCTACTACTAGGTACACGTACACGTAAAACTTATCCAAAAGTTTGTTGTTGTTTTTGATATATAAAATGCATATCTCCGCTATATAATTCATATCTTCCATATATAAGTAGGTATATCTATGCTCCAGTTACAGATTCACTTTCTTTGCTGTGCAATTAACAAGTGCAATTGCTGGCATCATTCCGACTTGATATGATCTTACGGTATAATAAACAATTGAGCTCTCCGGTTGCATTCCCTATTGTCCTCCTTGAAATTCTCATTATTCTTCTTCTACTTCCGCATCCTTTGTGGTTGCTCCTGGGTCATTCCGCTCATCAATTTTAACATCGCTGGACTTTTAATGTAAACTTATTCCACTTTCGTGTGTGTATGCATGTATATACGTTGTATTCAACATCAATAAAACATCAATAAAAATCGGTTTTGTTAACAACACTTTTATAAAAAAGAACGCAACGTTACGACGGTTGGGTTACACATATATATCCATATATAAGTACATAAGTCTGTCTAGATATCTATATATTTTGTTGTATTCATAGATTGTATGTCTATATATATATATATATATACATTTATATTAACAACACTTAACACACAGAAATGCTACATGAAGATGTGTGTGTCCTCAGGATGCGGAATGTTCAAAAATTTAGTAGCTCCTTTTTGTGTGTTTTGGGGTTTGATTTCTCGATTGATTTTTGCTTCACAAATTCTAAAAATTTCACATCACAGCCAATGGATACTGACGATGGGACGCATTTCCTCCACTCCTGATCCTCCTCCTCCTTCTCCTCCTTCGGCTTCCTCTGCTAATTTTCAGCCGGGTGGAAATGATGTTGATGATTTTGCGGATGCTGCAGATGCTGATGAGAGGTGGCAACGATTTTTTTGCTGGCGGCCCCAGCAAACTAACAATTTGGGGGCCTCTGTTATCCATCTGGGAAGTTGCCAGGTCCCAGCTGGAGCATGTCTCATTTGGGCTCCTCAATGGTCTGCCCGACCACTATGATGATCACAATGAATACGGCCAGCAGGACGAGGATGCAGCAGATGGCCACGGCCACCATGGCGCTGTTACTCATGCGGGAACTCTTTTTTTTCTTCCCTTAGTGGCTCACTTTTCAAATGGAATCGATGGCTTCTCTATCTGTATTTGTGATTATTTTTTTGGGGAGAAGAGAAAGTGAAGTGGGAATTTGCATATTGACAGTAACTGCGATTGAGATTGCTTGGCTGTGCACAGTTGAGATTATCGGTCGATCCACTGGGCCATCACTTGTCATAAATCCCCCGACCTACGAATGGCACTGACAAATGCCATAACCACCACCTATCGCCCAACGCCCACCGTCCACCGCCAACAGAAACAAATTGCCTGCCATAAATTGCGAGGCCTGCCTATCAGCCGCTCGACTGTGCATGAAATGCCCGACAGCCTGTGGACAGCCCAAAACTTGTCACCTCCAGTGCGTATGTGCGATATCCTTCCACCCTACCCAATACTCAGCACAGAGCTCCCAACTCGCACACACACACACGCACTTCATCAAGAGTGTCCTGATACGAGTGGGGAATTTGGCCAAAAATCACAACCCATAAGGGCGAGCCGAGCTGTCCCAGGGAGTCCTTTGTCTGCCAGTGACACATGATTAATGCTGTCCGACCGGAGAGTGGGTCCTTGCACTTCCCGCCAGCTGAATGCAATTTCAAGTGTCTATTATCCTGTCTAATAGCTGCTGAGCTGTGCTGCTCATCTGCCGTCGTCCTGACGATAATTGCCAGTGCATTATGAGTTCTGACATGGCAGCTCGGGCACACGACACGTATACTTAATTATCGGCGCTGTTCGCCAGTCCAACACGAGGGGGAAAATTCAATTACATCGAAACAAAACTTGACAAGCCATCAATTCGATTCATTGAAAAATGAAAATAAAACATAAAAAATATATCGAATTGATTGTATGAAGGTCCCTCTGCAGTAGAAGAACTGTGAATTCTCTAATGAAGTGGGAAAAGGACACATAAGTTTGTAATATGAATTCATGAAAGTTTATGAGTCGACGAGAAATAGAAATGAATAACTTTTTCTACTTAGCATTGACAATAATTTGAAGTCTTATTTGATAATTTTAATCTGTACATTTTATATAGAATATAATTATCTTTAATATTTCTTTGTATTTCATTTTTAAATGAAAGAAAAAATATTTTCTATTTATTAAGCACTCAACCAAACCCGAAATATCGAAGCTCGTTAAAAGAGTATAAAAGCGTCAAATAAATGTTCACGTTTTTCACTGTTTTTCTTTTTGCCAATGTGAAAATGGCTAAAACCATTGAAACGTCGCTGACATTGCTGGCCAAAACAGGAACCAGACGGCCAACAACCGCTTGGAACTTTTGATAAGTTTTTGCAGTGCCAAATGGAAGGTGAACGGAATTGAATGTAAAAACTAATGCAGACCCAGTTCTCGCACAAATGGCCACAGCTGCTGTCAGTCGTTATCAATGGCAATGGCAATGGCAACACGAATTCAATTCGAGGGGGCCAAAAGGACAACAAATTCACAGAGCTTAAAGGTTGGAGGAGAGGTCTTACTTTAAGCTAGCACTTGGGGGTCCACTTGCTGGGAAATGGCCTTTTAATTAAGCCGCTCACGCAAATAATTTGGCCTTTCCCAAGCATCAAGAAAGGAGCTGCTGTCAATGTTTGTGGCAGTTGCCATTTCTCCATTTGATTTTGACGCGCACTAGTGGCTTCCCCGCTGTGCAAACTCTCGTTCAAAAAGGCTTCGCTATTTAAATATTTATTTTTATTTATTTGGGCCCATTTGTCTGGTCTGCGAGTGCGTTTAAAAAAGCTCTAAATAAGCCAGAAACTAACTGGCTTTTAGGGCTTTAGTACGCCTCGTTTTCGTGACTCAATTGCTCTTTGTTACTGTCCCTTTGAATTGGTCAATTAATATTAATGAAATGCTCGTCTTCCGCACTTCGCGCGATCTCATTTCACCTGTTCTGCTGGGTCGTGCATAAATTATGCTTTCCTGTCTGCCTTTATTTTCCCACATACACCTTACATGTACATCATTTGACCGAAAAACTTTTAAAACTTCCCCTTGCCATTTTTTGCCAGGAGGCGAATTATGTTGTAATAAGTCAATTTATCAGTTTATTTTTAGCTTACACATGTAAGCCGCGGGCGCATCAATCAAATTATGTTTGCCAAGCGGTAGGCGTAAAATTAAATGAAATGCAGTTACCGACCGGCCAACGAGTCGTATACGCAACCTGGCCAAGTACTTGACTCAATTGCGTGCGCTTGTATTTTATGGCTGACGATAAAAGGCCAAAATGATATATTTTATATTTGTTTATTGCCAGCTTTTTTGGGGAAATATTTCGACCCACGTCAAAAGGATATCCGTGGGCTGGGCTGACGGAGTCTCTTGAAAAGATTTACAACACATTGCAGTGACACATATTGTTGGTCCGTCAGAGGCTTCCATTGTCTATGAGTCTTAATTAAATTAGCGCCAGAAGGCGACGAGCCACAAACACAGATAAACGGAGATGGGCCAAGATGACAGGATACTAGAATACCCTCGTATCATAACATCTCAAGAAAACAAAGGAAATGCCGAGGAAAGAAGCTTGTCACTGCCACGCTGTGTGAGCGTTTGAGAGTGTGTGTGCGTTGAAAGAAATAAAATAAATTTTTGCAATTTCGTAAGTTTTATGCGCACATTTGCAAAATTTGTTTATGCTGGCGAAATGGAAAGGACTGCGGGAGTGTGAGAGGTCATAGAACAAATGGGCCATGACGTGGTGGTGTTGGTGCTGGCCACCCCACGGGATGGGAGTGGGGCATGTAAAGGGAAGAAAAAAGGGTGGAACAGCTCCCCAGGAGTGCGTAAGCAGCGCACATCGTTGGCTGCCAGTGACGTTGGCAACATTTCTGCGTGTTCTCGTGTGCGCTGGCACATAAATTCAATTTGTTTCTCCAGCGAATCGTTGAAGGGTTAACGCTAGCCCAACTGCCAGGGAAAAAAAATTTGAAAAAAATTATGGAAAATTGCACAAGTCGTTGAGAAAGGGGGGGGGGGGGAGGAGAAAACGTTTATGAAATTGCATGCAGAATTAAAGCCGCCAGGCGAATGCCAAGCGAATCCTTTGTCAAGTTCAACTGCACGGCGCGACCTTGGCAGATGCGACTCAAGAAGTCCTCTCCGCCGAGTGCCGTGTGTTAGTGTGATTGTGACTGTCTTTGTGGACCAGGACGAGTGATTATATGTGTATGTGTATATCAGGACAATAGCCGCATAAATGCTCGAGCTGTGCTTTAAAGCTGTCGCCGTGTTGTTGCGCTGTCTTGTGATGTCAAAAGTCAAAAGTGCATTAAAATAATTGCACTTGTTTAGGCGCCTCTTGGCAACTGCCAGCGACCAGTTCTGATTTATTTTACCAATACACAGACATATAGAGCTTCTTTCCATGTTAAAGCAAATAAAAATATAATACAAGAAATATAAAATCCCATAAAACAGTTTATCCTGACACCTATTAATTATAGTAATCACATTCATGAGAGGAAATTGCATGAAAAACCCACAGTTAAATGTTTTTTTTATAAACTTTTAGCAATACAATTGTAGCTTTTAATTAATTTTACAGGTTCATTTATTATGGACTCTGACAAGGCTTTTGTTTTAATTAAATTTTATTAATACTCGTAATCATTAATCGTCACTTAATGAGCTATTAATTTAAAAGTGATTTTAATGGTTTGTAAAAACATTGCACATTTTAAAAGTCAAATTCGATTAAGGCAGAAAATTACTAATGCATGTGTTTACTTTGTAAATTCTATTTTTGTTTTTATTTATTTAATGTTCATTGGGGAAATTTCTATCTGGACAGCTGATATATATTTTTGATCAGCTTTAAATTTAGATTGCAGTTGGAAATAGTTCGGAAAATTAGCGAAATGATAAATGATTCTAAAATAAGTATAGATGCATGAGATGATGAATTTAATTAAAAGAATTTGAGACTTTATCTTCTTCTATCGACTGTGCTTGTATGAGGAATAAGACCTCAAGGCTTCTCCCGGTGTACGTGTGAGGCTCACGTTTCCGCCTTCAACTGCACTTAAACTTGATTTCTGTGTATCCTTTGTCTTAGTTCCTTGGACAAGCGTCTGGGCCTCATTGTATCCCACATGAATGGGGGATTTGTTACCGTGTGTGTGTGTGTGTGGCAGAGGGAGAGTGGGTGTAACCTCGACACAGTAGCTGGTGGGTGGCCTTCTTTTTGGCCCGCTTCCTGACCCAGCTTGTTGCATGTTTCACGTTGGCTTTTATAGCAGGGAGATTTTTAAAGCTTACACAGAGATGCTCGACTCTGTCTCGTTTGTATCTCGTTTTATATATTCACGTATCACAAAAGAGATATTTTAATATGCCAAGGAACGTGCGACAAAGATTAATGAAATTCCCGCCTTAAAGCCTCATCTTTCTGGATAAGTGAATTCATTTCGCTTGTGAGGGCGGAAACAATGCGAATTTGTAAGCAGCACATCACCGCATTCAAAACGAAATACCAGTCTACTGACACTAAGATTCCCGGAAATATTGAAAATTCAAATTGGGTAATCAGCCATAAGGCCATCGAGTTCTGTTTGCCAATTCCATTAGGTATTAGAAATTAGGAATTCGCGAACAACGCTGAATTTCGGGTCTATTTGAATTGGCTTCCTATTGGTGTTTTATTTCCCCTCGTTCCGTTCTGGCTGATTCTGTTTATTTATAATTCGATTGGAAATGTGTTTGGCCAAAGAAGTTCATTTCGGATGGCGCCACCTCATCGCATTTTATGACCATTTGCGGTTTGTTTATCTTTCTCTGTTTAGCTTAATTACCGTGCTATTCCTTTCATATTTAATGTATCGGAAAGTTCTGCCTGCCCACACACAGAAACTCAATCGAATCGCTCTTTGAGTGCTCGATTAATGATTTTTATTGAAATCGGCATAGTTTTCGCTTGGCTTGCCCACGACGGTCCATAAATTCATAATGCAAGGGGGAAACTTTAGCTAGCCATTTGCTCTGTTCAGATTGATTAGAAGATTGATGGACCGACTGGCTGCAACTAAGTGAGAATGACTTCAACTTTGTGAACTACTCGTAATTGATTGGCTTAGCTATTTTCCTTTAGGGTTAGGGGTCATCTAAAAGGTTTGCGAATATTGTTTGATCGCATGCTGCATAACTTATGGCCCTTTATTGGCCAAGTTAATAAAATCTTAAAGCTCATAAGCCTTGGGCAAATTTAATTCCAGAGGTGGGACATCAAACGACGGTCCCTTTTTAATCAGCAAACTCATTAGCATCGTCCGCTAACTAAATACAAATTAAAGAAACAGCATCCACAGCTGGCGAAAGCCTCCCCCTTTTTCCTACGCTTTTCCTGCTGGTTGGTAAAAAGTTTTCACTTGGCAGCCGTCAAGTTGATGTAATGAAAAAGTTGCAGCATTTTTCTAACAATATTTTCCCAGCTCATATCACATGACATGGACACGCTGGCTACTGGAAAAAGCTGCTGCTGCAGAAAGCCTTCAAAACAACAAGCACTCGGCACAGGGCGCTAATTAGTTTCGAGTCGGTTTTTGAATAAAAAAATATTTTTTAAAAAACGTGGCTCATACGCAACGTTGGCTCGCAAAAAAATAGCAAAAACGGAAATGGAAAGAAATACTTTTTTTTAGCGAATGCTAACACAAACAGAAATAAATAAACACTTTCAATGGAAAACGGCCACGTCCTCCACCACAGTTTTCACCTTACTTTTCGTCGGGTCCAGCCGGCGGTAAAAGCGCTGGCAAAAGCGGAATCCTGACAAAGGAGCTAAAGGGAAACCATGTGAGAAACGGGTTAGCAGCCTGGAAGCGAAGCCAGTGCAGCTCATTATAAAATAGCCAAAGTGAAAACCCTATTTTCCGATTCGAGGGCGGGTCAAAGGTGCTGACTCCGAGTCCCAAAAAAAAAAAATTCACTTTGAGATCCCAACTGAAATTTTAACGATGCATATAAAAACCCGGCGACGGCAAATGAATAAATAATTTATGCGTAAGGGTCCTAAACACTCGAGTGGCTGGCAACATTATTTGCCAAGTTACTCTTTTCTCTTCCTTTTATTTTATTCGTTTTTTTTTACATTTTCCACACGTAGCAAATTTTATCTCTCTATTACCTGGCTGGCAGTGGCTTGATTTAGTGGCAATGTCTCAGCTACCAAAGAAAAAAGGGTTGAGTTTTCCAAGCCCTTCCGCTAACTTTTCCCATGAGTTGCTCGGTCGGGTTATGTTTGCTTATCACCTGGTTGGCCACTCAAACAGAGTGAAAAACGATTGCGGCCCTCTGTTTGCACATTTGGCACGTTTCAATTTCGCAGCGATTGCCGAACTGCATGCAAATTGCAAGCTGAATACCTTATTTCTTTTTTGATCAAATGTTTAATCTTTTTGGAAGTGGAAAAGTAACTTGGTAATAACGCACTTTCGATTAGTGTTAAACTATCTTCTTTAACTATATGTCTTATTACCAATATTTCCACTAAGTTTAATTATTATATTAAACTCTTATCTTATCTGGAATCTTCACTCTCTTTAAACAAAGTTGCAATTTACAAGTGGATATTCGTCTTAAATAACTGTGAGAAAATAATAGAAAGTTTTAGTGTTTTAAACGCGCTTTGTTTATAACAAAACATGCACAGAATTTATATTGAAACTTATTAAAAGCAATATTATAATGGGGAATATGGTTTGCATAACTATTTCACATTAAAGGAATAATGTATAATAACTATTAAGAAACGTGAACGGAATTCAAAGCTGTGCATTAAAAATAAAGTGTTTTCTTTTTGGTTTAAAATTACATATTTAGTAAATGGTTATATAGTAAGCCTAACCTAAGTTAACCATATTGAATATAGTTTTTAGGTTAAACCACTGAATAATCCTGATTTAAAAAAAAAAACACTCAGTTAGAAAATAAGCAATGGGTTCAGTCCTGTCCTAAATCAAAGTTGTCACTTGTCATTTTCAGGCGCTGCACGAGCGGAAATTGGAAAGTTCGCCCCAGACAGTGACTCCAATTAAGCAGGTGGCGAACAGGTGAGATCCAGCAAAAGTTGTAATAACTGCCGTGGACACATTTCCATCGCTATCTCCATCGCCATCTCCATCGCCATCGCCCCTTTTCTTTAACCTTTTCCGCATTTTTCCTGTGTGGGTGGGTATCTTGTGTGTGTGTGTGTGTGGGATTTTATTGCTGCATTGCAAACAATACAAGGGCCATGTTGTAAATCCCTCAACAATTGCCTGCCTCCAATTCGTTTTGTAACCTTTCGTTGCTCCAGAATGCTCTCCTGTGTAAGGACGTTCCAAGGAAAGCACTCAGGGTTACCGATTAGGAATATATGGCCATTGTGCATGTGAACTAATAACGCATTTCTATGGCTGCCTTTTGAATGGGAACTTCACTTCAACGTGAATTCATCTAACGCACTTTCGCTCAATGCAAATAATATCAATTTCACTGAAATGAGTATTTTTTGTTACTGCCAGATTCTAGGAATCTGAGTCAGCTCTTTACATTGACATTTCACGAACTCCCAAAGGGATAGGTGTCATGATTTTATGAAATTAACTGGAAATGCAATTTTGTCAACCAGGCAATAAAGGACTTTGGGGAAGTAATATAACGTGAACATCAAAGTTTGAACTAATTCTTTAATGGAGGGATAAAGTAATCATTAAACTCTTGATGGTATATAAGTTTAAAAATGGAAAGTTATAAATTGAGATAGCATAGCTTTATAAATTAGAATAATTAGCAAACTTCGTTGGACTTAATGTTCACACATTCACATTCAGCACTCAAAAGCATATAGTTTGAAAAACTTCATTTAGATATACAGCTTTCTGATATGGAAGGCTTTCATATACTTTAGTGTTTCATTTTAAGCAACTAACTGAGGGATGATACAATTTCTTTAGCTTTGAAGGCTATATCCACCAGATGTTTTCCTGAGACGATCTGCCAAACCCCTTTCCATCCCATTCGATCACCATAACTTAAATACCCCACTCCACAATCCAAAGAATATCTCAATTGTGCACCCGAGCCAAGGCAATTTCAAAGAAATATGTAAATCAAGTTCCATTTGAATATTTACGTCTCGCAGCCGAGGGCTTTCTCAATTGATTTGTAATTCACTTTTGTGTTGAACAATTCTGCGCTAAGCTCTCCGCTTTTGGCAGACAGCTTCTTATCACCGGGATTTTGGATAAGTTTTTCTTGACACCGAAACGGAATGGTTAAGCGAACTTAAATATGCAAACTAAAATCCGGAGCGATAGGGCGGAAAAACACAAGACCGTTGGCAGAGGTTGAATACCGGGAAAAGTGCGCGCGTTGCTGGGAAAACTGTTTTGTGGGTCCTGTCGCACGATGCGATTAATGACGCGATGCGATGCTGTTTTGAAAGCTGGTGGTAAGCTGATTCTGGAGCTGGTTGAATTGGCTGAAAAGCGAGCTGCGTGTTTGCCGCACGGCCGACAGAAATCGACTGAACGCATTCGGCTGCTGCCACGGCATTTAAATGGCAGAGAGAGAAGCGGAAAAGTCGGAAAAGTCAGAAAAGTGAGCATAAACGAGAGAGAGAGAGAGCAGCCTGCGATGACATCAAGTGAAAGCTCTTTCATTTGAATCTCGAGGCGGTTAGCCCTCCGCCAAAATACAACACAACTGAAATAAATCAAATTGAATTTATGATTTCGTTTTTTTGTGCACTTCATTCTTTTTCTTCCATCCACCCAGAATCCTTGGCCCCTATGAGTTGCTGCTTGGAGTTTGTTTGCCCCTGGATTTCATTTCGCTCCAGCTCAATGAGCCGTCGATTCTGTTTGTTCGAGTGGCCAACGAGCTCTTTAATCGCCCATCCAAAGCCGCCACTTGAGACAGCTGGCAGGTGGCAGATTTCAGGTGAAAGATTTCAGGTGGCAGCCATCAGAGGCAGCCAAAGCTGACAGCTGAGAATCTTGTTTGACTTGGGCTTCCGCTCATTATGCTCCTTTTGGCCTCTTTGTCCGTATAATTGCCGCCTTGAAACCAGAGGCTTCAATTTAAATTGCCAACAAACTTGGCGCGCTTAATTTTCGATTTCATTTAATTTGGCGAAAATCTCATTAGGCCGAGGACCAACGCAAAATGTCGCCCAAGATAAATGGCAGAGTGTGTATTTGGACGTGGCATCGAATCGCAGATACTTTGACCTGTGCCTGGGGCCACTGGCGTCTTTGACTTTCCCTGCTCCCGCCATTATTGGTGGTCTTCCCTTCGTCCGGCATGCCAAGTCAGCGATTTATTTGGGGCCAAACAAAGGCCGGATAACCCAGCAAACATTCGCTAACCAACTGATAAGAGGAGAGGCTTCCTTTTGGTAAAATGATAACATGAATGTCCTTAAAGCGCAGGCGCGAGCTTTTCCGAATGAAAGAGAAAAATCCAGAGAGAAAATTGGATGGGAAATCCACTGGGTAAACTGATAAGAAAGCAGACTTCTGGTGCCTGCATCTGCGGCTTCAATTGTCTTTAATCGCTGCTCAAATGTCGATGATGATGGGCAATGTCCTGGGGGATGGGGCGGAAAATTGTGGAGCGCATAGCTGGGGGACCTTTAACGAATTGTCATTGATTTCTTTTGAAATGGCGCCGCTTTTGTTTGCCTTCGCTTCTGCCACATTAGGCAGCCGAGCAGCGTTCCCCCCTCCCCCTCTGATTATTGCAGCTCTGGTTATCGGGCAATGATCACAAATTGAATTTACTCCGGCGGCAGCTTGTCTTAAATAATTATGACCGCGTTTAATTAATAAGTTTTGCAGGCTCAGGCAACAACAACAAAGGACAGCCAGTGAGGTTCCCTTTGGAAAAGGGTCTAACCAGAATATGCTGTTATTGTTTTTGCTACTTGGAAGCAATTAAGACCGCCCAGCGCATTGTCTTCTAGGCCTCAACCTCGCTTGACCCCAACTTTGTTGGGAAATTTTGCCTTTTGTGCGTGCTCTGAAAAATGAGCAGCTCAAATGTAAAAAAATATAAAACTGTCACACAAAGAGTTTGGTAAAAAAAAAAGAAAGATGAGGAAAACGTCAGATCCGGAGGGACAGGGGCTGGGTGCCGGATTGCTTCCTTCCTGACGGGGACGCTCACTTTTGCCGGTCATTAAATTTTTTCCATTGCCTTTGGCAGTCAATACATATTTGGCTGCGTACATAAATAATGAGCTCAGTTGTTGTTTGGCCAGATTTGCAAATGTTCTTCGACAGTTTCAATTATTTATTTACCAACTCAAATGGGTACAGTGAGCACTCGGTGGGGTCTTTAAAACTCTCAGGATAAAACAAAACCCTATTGGACACTCGAGTCTTGGCAATTAGAATGAAGGAAAATTGTTTTACATGAGTTGCCCAAGAAATATAGTTCACCATGGAAATTGAGAGGGAAGAACTTTTGCACAAGTTAAGAGGAAAAACTAACAATGGTTCTCCATAAAAATTTGTTGTGGTTTTAATGTTTCGTCATTAAGCTACTATAAAGTTGGGATTGGGGTCTTAAGATATATTTTATGTGTCGGTATTTATTATATAATTATTACTCGAGTCCTTTTCTGATGGTTAAAGACTGCGTTATTATGTTAAAAATAAAAACCAAAAGATTAAATTAATGGAAGTTTTTCCTCTTACATTTCTGTCTTTGGGAATGATAGTGTTTATTCGTAATAAAAATTTAAACAATGTTTATAGCCTCGTCTAAGGTAAACAATAAATGATTTATCCCACCTCTTTATTACCATATAATAAAGGCTATTAAAATGAGTGACTTACTTACCTGCATAGAATAAAGGCAGCAGATTGAAGATGATAACCAGCGGAAATATAGAGCGTGCAAACTTTTGCATATCCATAAGGATGCCGAATGCCGGAGACGTCGTAGTTGAAGCATTGGAATCCTTTGCTGCGGCGCCGTGTTGAAAGAGCTTTCGTTGTTGTTTCGTAGAGTCCTGACTGACTTTGGAAGATAGGCGTGATAGGCAAGGGCTCGTGGTGATACAATCCTGCGCCGAATTCCCTGAAGAAGTGGCCAAAGTAGCAGCAGGATCAGCCACACATTGCTGTTGCTGGTCGACAGGGGGAGCAGCAGTATTATGGCAGGTTGCAGCGCTGCCGGCCAAAGGATATCGCATCCTGTACTGGGTGTTTTTGTTGCTGGCAGAGATCTCATCTGTGGTCCAGTATTGCCGACATTTGCTGGCTGGTACATCATCTGTTGCTGCAGTTGCTGTTGCTGATGTTGATCCTGTTGCCCTTGTTGCTGTTGCTGATGCTGCTGCTGCCGCAAGCGTTGACTGGCATAATGTTGCTGCTGTTGCTGCTGCCTCTGATTCGTTTTGTGTTGATGTGTGGCACAGAAACGTATCGCCTTGAAATTGCTTCCGTTTGCTGTTACAGTTGTTAGTGTGTTGCTTTTGTTGTTGTTGTTGTAAAGGTTGTCGTGTTGTTGTTGTTGTTGAAGAAATTGTTGTTGGTGTGTTATAGAAATGTCGTATCTGTGCTGAGGCCATGTTGTGCCCTGAAATGAGATTTGAAAAGGCAACAATGGCATGAAAAGATGTTAAAAACCAATAAGTATATAGTGACCATTCAAAAAGGGACAAATGATGCTGGCTGCCATACAGTTTTGATAATCCAATCGCTTTGATTATCGATTCCTTGTTGGGAGGATTACACGCCACAGGGAAACGGACAGCAGCATCACAAAGCATTTGGGTCTTCTTGTCTTTTTAATCAATTTTCCACTGGCACGCCCATTCGGTTAACGCCGTCGGGCAATCCTTTTGCCGTTTTTTTTACAAGCTGTCAAATCCCTGACTCCCTTTTAAAGGGTTTCTGGCCAGGGGTTCAATTCTTAATGTTTACTTTTCAATGCTTTCTAGAGGTTTGTGTATTTTATTTACAATGAAAAAAATCTCAGGATGGAGAAACTCGAATGATTTTATTTTTATGCTCTTCACTAGTAATTTACTTTTGTTTTGATGCTTTAAAGTTTTTGCCATTTAATATGAATTTATTTCTTGCTCATCAAGTATACGCAGTGTATATGTATTATAGCAAAATGCTCAAATTTATAGCATACTTTACAGAGCTTTTATTTTACATCTTGTAAACAAAACTTGTAAAGGAGGCAAAACATTTCAAAGCTTACATCCCAAAAGCTTCTAGCTAAGTTACACACGACATTGAAGTTACATCTACGTATACGTAATATCCGTGTAACTTTAAGCAAAAAGCTTCTACTGTTATAGAAATTAAACCAAAAAGCTTGAAGAGACATACACGCATACAGCTATGACTCTCTTAACAAGGAAATGATAAGAAATTGACTGAAAGTTAGCATTTCCTGATATACATTACTCTGTTAGTATTTAGCTATCTAAACGGAGTTATAGTGAGTTATTACCATGCAACTTTTATCCCCAAGAATCCTTCGAATAACTACGCCCCTGTGTCGCATACACATCCCTCATTTGCAAGCCATAAAAATATGCGAAATAATAATAAATAACCTACAAGTACACTAGATAAGCCCTTGGCGAATGCCACGCCCATTGGGTCAGACCAGGCATTTATCAAATTTCCGCCACTCGAAATGTTTTTGGCCGCAATAACAGACGCCGAAACAAGTTTGCTACCCATCAACCAACATATAGCCCTCTGCTCGTTGTAGTTGTAGATTACAGACGTTGATAATAAAATAAAAATTGCAACAATAAACGCGTAGACATCATGTCTATGGCAGTCCTCGGCCAGATCCAGCAATCCAACAGCAACGCCCACACGTAGCACGGAGCCATAAAGTGCTCGTAATCAACGTGAAACTGCGACTCACGCACACACGTCTATTGCCGGATGTGTGATGGCGAACTTGTGCACTGAGAAAAAAGATTGATGTTCCTAATAAATTTATTTGATTCTCCTTTTTTCTTATTATTATTCATCGTAATTTATCAAAATTATTAAAAAGTTCCCAAGGTAGTACTGTGAAATGGAAAGAAACTTCTAAAAACAGAAAGAATTGCCTGGGGATAGATTCATCGGAATTCCTTGCTTAAAGCAGGAAACACTTAAGAGAAATATTGAAGAGTTATTTATAGTTCGACTTTGCTGTGTCTCCTTCCCAAGCTGTGATTTTTCCCCTAGTGTATGTTTGCGTGCGTCTTTTTGCCAAATGTTGGCAACCGGACCTCTGATAGCCGCTGGTCGGTGGCTTTTCCATTTTCCCAACGAAAATTGTCTGCAATGCTGCACTAATGTCATCAGGGCGTATGCGTAACTAGGTGAATGTCGAGTTTGTGAGTGTTGGAGTGCTGGAGTGCTGGAGTTTTTCGTTTTTATTGTGGAGTGGAAGCGGGAGAAAAAGCAGAAGGCAGGACTGGTTTTGGGTGGCTGAGTGGTGTTTTCTGTTACGTTTCAGCTGTATCCATTAATTCCGGGCAGCTGGCAGCAAAGGATGTGAGCT